GGATATAAGTGATTCCCAATTGTTTTGGTCTGTTGATTTTTTGCCGAACTTTTAGCCCTTTATTTTTTATTTTTCCAAATGTTGGTTTTTATCTTGTAAAATTGGTGTGAAAGATGTAGGTTTCGTGATACTTCTTGAATATGAGGTTAATGATAGATAGGGGATCTTTGAAGGAAGTTTAGCCAAACATAAAATCCCTAAGTTCAATGCTTTTTCTCAACATAGAAGTTACAAATGTGCGCGATGTTCCTAAAGGATGGTTGTGCAATGGCTTTGAAAGGCAAAGAATAGAGATTAGAAAAGATGGATGAAGAGGAGCTTGATGAGAGACTATTTTATTCAATGTCTCCTTAAAAAATATTGAGAAAGAAATTGTAAGTTAAGTTGTATTTATGAAAGGAAAATTTCTTCCTCGTAAAGTTTTTATTTTTAACATCGTAATCTCATAATGAGTGTTGCTTCATTGCAAGGGCACTTTAATGAGTATAAGGCTTTAATTAGCAAGTTAATAGACTAGATGTAAAAATTGATGAGGTGTGAATGTGATAGGTGGGTACATGAGAAGTAAAAATAAAGTATAATAACTCTTGAAATATCCGACCAATATTATGTTAAAAAATCCCAATTTATGGGCCAGAAAAGGGCTAATAGAATCAATAAACCAGTTAGTGTGACCCATTTGACTATTTAACGATCAATTTTGATTATGTGATATTTTTTTATATGATAATATAATTGACTAGCCAAGGAATAGGTTCATGGTTTGACTGATAAGACTAGTTGGTCAGATCCAGTCATAATAACAATAATGGGCTATTACTTGAAATTTGACAAGACTTCTAGTCTATTAGGGGGGGCTTTTATTTTTTTGGAAATGTTTGCCTTTGAAGATTTTCTAAGGGAAATATTTTTTAGGTTTTCATACTTGTCCATGTTTCCAACCTTGAATATGGACAATTTAGGCATTCTCAAATATTTTTTGAAGAGATACCTGAGTGAAATGAAAATTTAAAAGAAAATCCTATAATACTGATTAGGGTGTTCTTATCCGTTGGAAAAATTTTCAAATAATTCTAATGCTTTACATAGTATTTTCTATTTTTCAACAGAGTTTAAGAGCGATACTGGGGAAATTTATCAAACTACATCTAATGTTTAAACTATTTAACATCTTATCCATATTTTTTGAGGGAAAAAGACACATCTCTACCTATAATTACAATCCAAAATAAATCCTCATGCTATAGATAGTCTGTGGATCCTCTCAAAAGTTAATTTTATCAGAGAAAAGCTATATATATATATATATATATATATATATATATATAATAAAGCTGCTTTGGATGCTTGATACCCTTTTCTGACAATGCAGTACCTTACTTCTATAGTATGAGGTTGCAACCTTATAAAAACTTTATGTATTTATCATCTCGTGAAACTCACAAGTAGTTTAGGGAAAGGCTTCTATATTTCCCCTACAACATAGAAGATCTATGCTTCCCCTACCATCCAGCCATCAGATTTTGATCAAGAGAGTCACTCACCGTTTGATCTTAGATCTGACGTCTTAAAGTATTTTATTTTTAGTTTTTTCTTATACAAATTGTGTGAATATGAAATTTGGTACATGCCATCTTCTCATTGGAGTGCACCTACAAAAAATATTAAAAATATTTTTTCGATAAAATATAGTGACCAAAATACCCCTTGAAACTTTTAGGTGTATTTTGGTCATTTTATTTTATTGCAAATATTTTTTTTATAGTTTTCGCTAGTAAGAGTTTAATAGAGGATTGGACGTACAAATTTTGGTGTCAAATTAGTTTATAAAAAAAATTTAAAAATAAAATAGTGTAGAGACGTAGCACTGTGATTGGGGCAATCTTAGCCATCCATTCAAGATAGACGGTTTGGATAAGGGGAAGTATATAAGTTTTATATTATAGGGGAAGCATAGAAAGCTTGCCCATTAATTTAAATGAGACATCCCATATTTCATTTTGATGATGAGGATATTAAAAGTAAATAAACGATAAATATTGTAATTTAGACAATAAATGAAAGCAATAAATATTGTAACTTGGGCAATAAAAAAGCAGAGAGGTGGTTAAGTATATTCTCTTTTAACTTGGAGGGAGTCTATGGGACTTCTATGATCAAGGGTTTATTTAGGATTATAGTTATAAAGAGGGTGGGTACACATCTTTTTCCCTTTTTTATCGAATTTCAAATAACTTGATCAAATTTTAAACGCTTTTTAAATTTAATTTCAAATAGCCAACATTCTTTTGATCAAATTATATAACCTATCAAATAACAAGTCAGAATGGGTCTTAAAAATTGACCAAAATACACATATTAAATAGTTGATTTTAAGTGTATTTTGATCAAATTTTCAGAGGTGTGGTTTGCATAAGATCAAGGCCCTAAACATCAAAGTAAGGCATACCTCTAAACAATGTCAAAAGATAATTTTTTGGTAGCAAAATTTTTGTGATGGCTTGAAAATTTATTTTCATATCCAATTATAAAATTTAGAGCGATTTATGGAAATGGTTTGGGAGGCTTTATTACCATTTGATGATATTTTCCTCATATTACAAGGGCCGCCCCCCAGTTTTTTTTTTTTCCCTCTGTAGAGTACTGGCTCTGTCCAGTATCATGGATACCGGACGACACTCGCCTTTGTTATTTTCCTGTTCAGTAGTGTTGATATCGAATTCTAGTCTAAGTCTATGTAGTCACTGGACAACTCTCTAGAATGTCCCAAAACCCTGTCTGACCCTTCTTCTCATTATTCCTTCTCTTTTCTCTCTCTTTCTTTATCCTATCTCTCTACGCATAACCCTCTTTCTCTACAGAGTAACCATTTGAATCTCCACAACCGCAGACATTTGGTCACTTTAATGATAAAATATGTCTACCTGATTAGCACCCAATACAATATTACTTCAACATTGTTGAATTGAGACCGTTAATCCAACATTTGAAACTGCTCTCCCAAAGCTCACCAATCGTCGATTCTAGCCCAAAATGGAAACCCACCTCCAAACCAAAACCTCTCTGACAAATTGGGATTTTTGAAAAAAACGGATAAAAAAAAAACATAATTGTGCTTTACAATAGGCCATAGTTTCTTGATATTAAGTGGTTTTATAGAGCCATCCTCCATTAATTGGGGGTAGAGATCGTAGGCTTGGCATGTTAAGGTCAATAGGTCTCTCAAATGAAGATTGAAACTATGTTTGTACCTAAGTCGCTCTAAAATTTAAAGCTTAAAAAATAGTGTAGATTAAGCAGTTTCTTGAATACTTAGAAATATTGAAAATTGACGGCCTAGATAATGCATTATTAAATGCACCATTAGCAAAAATCTTTCTGATGGCTTGAAAATTTATTTTCACATCCAATTATAAAATTTAGAGCGATTTATGGAAATGGTTTGGGAGGCTTTATCACCATTTAATGACATTTTTCTCATAAATTGCAAGGGCCACCCCCAACTTTTTTTTTTTTTTGGCCCCTATAGAGTACTAGCTCTGTCCGGTATCACAGATACCGGACGACACTCGTCTTTGTTATTTTCCTGTCCAATAGTGTTGATATCGAATTCTAGTATAAGTCTATGTTGTCACTGGACAACTCTCTAGAATGACCAAAAACCCCGTTTGACCCTTCTTCCCATTATTTCTTCTCTTCTCTTCTCTCTCTCTCTCTCTCTCTCTCTTTCTCTATCCTATCTCTCTACTTATAGCCTCTTTCTCTACGGAGCAACCGTTTGAATCTCCACAACCGTAGACATTTGGTCACTTTAATGATAAAAGTATGTCTATTTGATTAGCACCCAATAAAAATTACTTCAACATCGTTGAATCGAGGCCATTAATCTAACATCTAAAACTGCTCCCCCAAAGCCCACCAGCCGTCGATTCTAGCCCAAAATGGAAACCCACCTCCAAACCAAAACCTCTCTGAAAAATTAAGGATTTTTGACAAAAACGGATAAAAAAAGAACAGAGCTGTGCTTTACATCAAGCCCTAGTTTCTTGATATCAACTGGTTTTATAGAGCCATCCTCCATTAATAGCGGGTAGAGATCGTAGGCTTGGCCTGCTAATAGGTCTCTCAAATGAAGATTGAAACTTTGTTTGTACCCAAGTCGCTCTAAAATTTAAAGCTTAAAAAATAGTGTAGATTAAGCAGTTTCGTGAACACTTAGAAATATTGAAAATTGATGGCCTAGATAATGCATTATTAAATGCACTATTTGCTAGACTTAAAACCTATTTTTTTTCATGTCTATATATCTCGAGATCGAGATGATTGACTTGAGGGTTCTTCAACATCGAAACAAACTCTTGGAGTGAATTTTTGAGGTGCGACTTAATTTGATTATTTAAGGCTTCAACCTTATGTAATTCTTTTTCATTTTCCATTGATACTGAAATTCAATGGTCATTTATGAAAGTGATTGTATATAATGAGATTATTTATATTTGATACAAAGAAGTTACAATTATTTATAACCATACGATGTAAAATGTGATAGTTTGGATGTGTCACAAAGTTCAATAACTTTTTTTTTGAAGTTTAAGCTTGGTCAATCGAAAAAGGAGGTGCAGGAAGCATCCATAGTTGTAGAGGTAAGGTAGACCTTCAAATTTTATCATGGTATATAATTTTGATGTAAAATGTTATTAGCATTATCTCAAAATCTATTTTTATATCTAATTATAAAATTTTTAATTTAAAAAATGGTTAAAATCAAGTAGATCTATAAACATATGAAAATCTTGAAAATAAACGGTGTAGATAATATGTTGTAAAATGCACTATTTTTAAGACTTAAAATCTTTTATTTTTCATAGACTGGAGATGATCAATCAATTTTTCAACATTAAAACTACCTTTTATATTTTTGAGGTGGATCCGTAATTCTACATTATAAGGTTGCATCCTTATATAAACTTTTTCCATAGAAGAATGATCAAAATCAATTGCGGGCCTTGGACCAAAAGGTAAATGGTGTAATTAATTCACCCGCAACTTTGCTTCATTCAAAAACCACAAGTGGGCCGAGGCGCGGGACATTTGCGTGTTTCCGGGCGGCCCTGCAGAGATGGATGATTCAGGCGATTTTTTTTCTCTGGAAACAATTCACAGGTTCAACGTTTTTTCCCTTTCCTTCTTTTGTTTTCTCTTTCTAGATTTCCCATGCATCTCACCCTCTCTCTCTGCACGTGTTCGTAGTCGTGTTGAAGAGCTTTCAGAGCTGCGAAGAAGTTGTAAGGGGATTTGGGAGCAGTCGAGTGATGAATCGAAGGAGTTTTTAAATGAGTGTTATTCTGATCTCAAGGTGATACACAGGATGGTGCATTTTTTTTTGTTTTTTTTTAAACTTTTCAGTACTCAGTTTTGCTATGGAATTGCAGGTCTGATCAATTGGTAGAAATGAATGTGCTTTCATTTTTTCATCCAGGGGGTTTATTATTATTTGATCGCTTCCTTGCTTTTGCTTGTTTATCAACTTTTGTTTTTACAGAATAACATCGACCAATTTGAATCAGATTTTTTTGGCATTGATTTTGCTGGAATAGATGTTACAGGTAACTATTAGCAACGTTTGAAATGCTAATCATTTTTTCTGGCAATAGTTAGGCTTCCTCTTTGGGGGGCAGTCGCCAATTCTTTTGTTGCCCTTTAGAATCTACCTCATGCTAGGTATACAGTATTTATATTATGCAGTATTGTCACTAGTTTGAACACAAATTTAGCAACTATTAGCTGTATATTGCATATACATGCATTTCTTTTTGTATAAATCTTGTAACATCGATTTGATCAATGAAGAGAAACAATATTTTGACATGGTATTCGAGCCAACCACTCTTCTAAAATCAACATCTGAATACTGCCTGTATTATCGACCAGCCTACAATACCGTCCTGCAAATACCACCCTACGAAACCACCCCTCCAATACGACCCTACTGAAACCACTTAGCAAATACCACCTTAAAGAAACCACACTACAAATACCACCCTACTAAAACCACTATGCAAATTTTACCTTGAGAAAGAGCTTGGTCTGTTAGATCTGTCAAAACCGCCCTCTATCAAAATCGCTTTGTGATAAAACCACCACCGAAACCCTCTGAAATCTACCGATCCACCACAAAAAAAAGCAAAATTTTTTTTGCAGAACTTCAGCCCCCTGAGATTCAGTCCCAAATCGCTTTCTCGATGGATCCGACTTTCTTCCCTCGATAATCATCTTCAGATTAGAGGGCTCCCTTGGTTGTTTAATTTCTTCAAGCTAATCCGAGTTGTTCTCTCTTTGGTTTTCTGGCAAACAAAATTGGCTTTTTGTTGTTGTCGCTTTGTGTTTTCTGCCTTTACCACTCTGTTGAATTTTTTGTCATTGTCTACATTTTTTAGGTCCTATTCGGTGTTTCCTATTACTTTAGCCTCTTAACTTGCCCCTATTTAAATTGATAATTATTTTCCTTTAGTTCTCTTATTTTCTTCATCACGAGGTTGTACATGTCTGTCCCTTTCTTATCCAAATGGAAAAATCAGAGTCTCATCAGCTTGTACTTGGTAAACTCAATGCAGATAATTATACTTTTTGGGCTTCCTTTATGCGGAATGTAATTCATGAAAAAGGACTGCTGGGATACATAGATGGAACTCAAAAGAAACCTGATGATCCAAAAAAAAATAGAAGAGCGGGGAGTAAATAATACTAGAATTATAGCATGGCTGATGGGCTCGTAATAGAGCAACATAGGGATCTATCTGAGCAATTTCAAACTGCCCAAAAAGCATGGATCTTTCTTGAGAACATTTATCATATGACTAATTGAGCACGAAAGTTACAGCCAGTATAGGAACTCCTTTCACTCAGGCAAGGAGACCAATCTATTCAGGACTTTGATCCATCCATGAAGATGCATTGCGATGCTTTGACATTCATGGAACTTGCGATTTAAGATGGCCTTAGTGCAAAAATAGTTGCAAGATCTTGAAATGAATTTCAAGTTATTGAATTTTTAATGGCACTTCGTCTAGAATCTGAAAGTGCTAGAAATGCCATGTTACACAGTGGCTCTTTCCCTACTTTGATTAAAGCCCTTTCTGAGCTAATTGCAGAAGAAACTAAGATTATGTCCCTTAGGTCAGCTTTTAAGGGAGAAATAGTTTTTGCTGCTACTATCTTCAAAGACCGAATGAGACTTGACAACATTCGCAAAATCTCTCTTATCTTTCTCAAAAGAACATGTCGTATGTCAGATGCAATTATTGTAAAGAGCTTGGACACATGAAGTACACATGCCCAAAGAAGAAGAAACCCACTCTAGCTGTTGTTGCTGCTACTTGTCAATCATTGAACAATTGCACTCCAACTCAAGATGTATATCACACCACTACTACTCCTCCATCCATAGTGACAAACTTGAACAAGTGCAGTCTATGCTTTCCCATTCTCGCTTGACTTTTGAACCCATGACATCCTTCTCAAGTAACTCTGCTTCCACTTCTTGGGTGATCGGCTCAAGAGCCTCCCATCATATGACAGCTAATGAGTCAATCCTGGTTGACTGTAAGTCTTTTTTTGATACTATTTATATTGTTGATGGAGCCACTTTGAAAGTTTCAAAAATTGGCTCTATATCTGTTACTTTTGACCCTTATAGTAAACTACGTGTTTCTGATGTTGACCATGTTCCTTCAATTGCTATGAATTTGCTGTCTGTTGGTCATATTACTCGCGCAAATCGTAATTTTGTTTTTTCTCTATCTGGTTGTTAAAACCAGGATCAACACTCAAGGAAGTTGATTGGGACTAGTTGTAAAGTTAAAAATCTATACTACTTGGACTACCTTCATATGGAAACTTCTTCAGTCTATGCTGTCTCTGCCTTGATGACACATTTTTGTGGCATCAACGCCTTTGTCCCATCTTTAGGTCTCTGTTACAGTTTTTATTATCTTGTCATGTTCTTATTACTGTTGAAAATACAAACTTTATTGATGTTAAACATTGTGAAACTTGTAAGCTTGCTAAATCTCATGCTTTAATTCTATTTCACCCTCTATATTGATCTTGTACATACTGATGTGTGGGGACATGCACTTATTTTATCTAAAGGGGGATAATATTTGTAACCTTTATTGATGATCACATTCGTTATACATGGGTTTTCTTTATGAAGAATTGCATTGAATTTTAACTTAATTTTAGTCATATGCAGAAACCCAAATTTCCACCAAAATTAAAGCCTTATGCTCAGATTTTGGTGGGGAATACATTAGTGGTTTGCTTAAAACATTCAATACCAAGACCTGTCCTTACACTCCAAAACTAAATGGTGATGCAAAGCGTAAAAACACTACATATTAGAAACCACAATAACACTTCTTTTGTCGACATCTGTTCCAAAAGAATTGTAGACAGAAGCTGTTCCTACAACAGTGTATCTCACCAACATTCTGTCATCCTTCATTTATCTGGCGAAACGCCTTTTGAAAAATTGTTCACTCAATCACATCACTATTCCCTTCTACGTGTGTTCGGTTGTACTTGTTTTGTCCAGTTACCCTCAATTGAGAGAGACAAGTTGTCTCCCACGATTGTTAAATGTTGTTTCATGGGCTATCCTGATGGCCCTATGACCAAATGACTTTAGATATTCTCGCATGTTGTATTTTCTGAACATATTTTTTATTGTAAAAATAAAAATGATAGCTCATCCTCTGTGCTTTCTTTCTAGTCCTCTTTTCTGATTTTGTTCCAACTTCTTCTGAACATTCCATTTTTGTCCTTCAACTCGGAGACCGGGAAGAACCTCTAACAGTCTTGATCATAACCCTGCACCTACTGATCCTATGCCGCTCCATGCTCTTGGATGAAGCATTGTGTAACTGTACCACTTTCCCACCTTGCTGATGATGCCAACTTCTTCTGAACATTCCATTTTTGTCCTTCAACTAGGAGACCGAGAAGAAGCTCAACTAACTCATGCTATCAGTCTTGATCAGAACCCTGCACCTACTGATCTTATGCCGCTCCATGCTCTTAGATGAAGCATTGTGTAACTGTCCCACTTTCCCACCTTGCTGACTATGCCAACTTCTTTTGAACATTCCATTTTTGTCCTTCAACTAGGAGACTGGGAAGAAGCTCAAGTAACTCATGCTAACAGTCTTGATCAGAACCTGCACCTACTGATCCTATGCCTCTCCATGCTCTTAGATGAAGCATCGTGTAGCTGTCCCATTTTCCCACCTTGCTGACTATACAAACCTTTTTACCTCAGCACCAAGCCTTTCTTGCTTGTGTTCATTCTTATTTTGAACTCCAGACTTATAAAGAAGTTGCAAGTCAGCTTGAGTAGCAACAGGTGATGACGAATGAGTTAAATGCTCTTGATCACATGCATGTTTGGGATCTCGTACCTCTTCCAATAGAGCAGACAACTGTTGGATGGCAATGGGTGTATAAAATCAAAACAAAAGTAAATGGCAGCATTAAACGATGCAAAGTTCATCTTTTGGCAAAAGATTACAACCAACAATATGGAATCGACTTTGCATAAACTTTTGCCCCAGTGGCCCATATGACTATTGTTCGGGCACTGATTTCAGTAGCCTTTGTTCAACCATGGTCCCTCTATCAACTAGATGTTAAAAGTGCTTTCTCAATGGTGATCTTGATGAGAAAGTGTATATGAAGTTACCTCTTGGGATCAACATATTCTCAAAATAGGGGGTGTAGACTTCGATGAGCCCTCTATGGGCTCAAACAAGCACCCCGTGCTTGGTTTGAGAAATTTCGCAGTGAAGTCCTCTTTATTGGATTTCGGTAGAGCCATCATGATCCAGCCTTATTTGTGTTTGAAACTTTTAAAGGGTGAGCCCTCATGTTATTATATGTGGTTGACATGATCATTTTTGTTAATGATATGGGCACAATTCATAAGATCAAACAGAAGTTTGATCAAAGATTCGAAATGAAAGATTTGGGGTTCTTGTGCTATTTTGTTGGATTAGGGGCCACTTATTGCCCTTGTGGCTATCTTGCTATGTCTTGCTATGGCACAAAACATTCTTAATAGTAGTTTGTGCCATAGCCATGAAACGAAAACTATCCCTGAGGTGTGGGAATAGTTTATGTTGACAGCTTCAAGTAGTTTGGGGCTTTGGAGCAACATGATGAAAGCTATCGTTATCTTTACCGGTTTGTTATGTTTTCTTATTATTCTCCTCTCGCAAGATAGACCATTGTCAAAACTTACTAAAATGTGGCTAAAAATCCTTGGTTCATATAAACCTCCCATTAGCATTTTTGTTGTTTTGTTGCTTTTGACACCGTTAAAGGTATTGGATTCCATTCTTTTAATTCCCTTATGTTCTTGTTTTACCCCCATTTTGATGCAAAAAGAATGAGAAACAAACAAAGACTCATCTTTTGCCAATGCTGCATGGTTTATTTGGATAACATCCCATTCATCATCAATAATAGGTGTTGTGATATTAGAAATTCCTTCATTTCACACCCAGGGCATGATGATGTTCATAATATCAATAAATCAGATATTCCTTTTTTTTGTTTTTTTTTTGAGAGAAGGTTAACTTGTATTAAAAGAGAAGGAAATTACAAAATGCAGTCACCCACAGGCGGGGACTCGGTAAAAAATGGGAGGTCAGATATGAACAAAGATTATACAACAATGTACTGAAGCTTATCAAAGCTGTGAATTCATGTAAAGCCAAAAAACGAGGGCTCATAGAGCTGCCCTTTTACAGTAATAGACAATAAGCTTTCAAAAAATAAGCTCTTGTGTAAAGAAAGGACAACTGACTAGGCTAACTATCAGGCTGCCCCCAGTCCTGCGTCAAAAGGGGGCCCCTGTCTTCTAGCTCCTTCTTTCGCTAGTCGATCTGCGTACGCGTTGGACGTCCTCCAAGTATGCATCCAAAAGACGTCCATACCCCTGCAAATGAACTGTATCTCATCAAAGATTTGAATAAGGTGCCAAGGTGGGGGGCGGGTAGAACCGCTAGCCCAGGAGATCACGTTAGAGGAATCCCCTTCTACAATGAGGTGAAAACCCCATGACGGATTAAAAAATTTCAGTGCTATTAACAAGGCCAGACTTTCGGTTTGAGTGGAATCCTTGGTACCCATGTATTCTGAACATACAAGTAGGGCAGAACTTGCATGGTCTCGATAGATACTTCCTGCCCCCGTTGGGCCCGGATTGCCTAAGGAACACCCATCAAAATTCAACTTGATAGTTCCATGAGGAGGCTGCCAGTTATTGGGCCTTGTGACTGAATGCGGTCGAAGGTGGAGGAGGTTGAGCCATTGGGGGAGGAAGAAACTCCCTGGAATGCCCGCGAAAGTCTTGTGGTTGGAAGCCCAAAAAATGATCGAGGATAAGGCTCGATGAATGATGGCCGGATGTTGGAGTTTGCTTCCACGAAAGATTCTAGAGTTTCTTTCGCGCCAAATGGACTAGATGATTGCTGCAACCACTGCCCTCCACAGGATTCTCCCAGCTTTTGGCCATCCTCAATCCAGGTCAAATGAAAAAAGGTCCTAAATTCAGAACTTTTCCCCAAAGCTCCAAGGAGAAATCACAGAGGATGAAGAGATTAAGGTTGGTTTCCTCCTCGTTTTTGCAAAGAGCACATCTATTGGGGAGTTGGACTCCTCTATGCTGGAGTATGTCTACCGTGAGAGCTTTGTGAGTGAAGGCCAACCAATTAAACGTGGAGCAATGAAATTCCACACTTTAAAAAGTGCCGAGGCGTGATGATCCGAGGTCATTGGTTGGGCTGCTAAACTCTTACAGAAAGAGGCAACCGAAATAATACCCGAAGGTGGGAGTGTCCAAGCAATAACATCCCTACCTTGGTGCAAGAAGAACCGAGAGTGAAGAGTAGAAGCTAGGACTTGAAACTCCCTGGTCTCTTCATCGGTTAAACTCCTTCGAAAGGAGGGGCTCCATACTCTTCAGTCTCCGGATAGGACAACCTCTTCCTATAGAGTAGAGTTTGCATTGCGAGTAAGAGAGAATAGAGAAGGGAAAGACTGATTGAGGGGGGTGGATCCCAACCACAGATCAGTCCAGAACTTGATTCTTGATCCATCTCTAGGGATGAACCTGATTGACCTGTTGAAAGGGGTAAAAGCCTTAGAGAAAGAAGTCCAAGCACCTGAGGCATTTTGTCGCTGGGTCCTATGGGGTAGGCAATCTTCTTCAGCCACATGGTATTTGTACTTGAGGACCCGAGCCCAAAGGGCTCTCGGATGGTTGGCGAGATGCCACCACCATTTCCCTAGAAGGGCCACATTGTGCAAACGGAGGTTCATGACGCCAAGACCACCCTGCAATTTGGGACGACAGACCAAGTTTCATGATACTTGGTTGTATTTCTTCTTTTCCCCTTGACCTGACCAAAGGAAATTCCTCATGAGTTGGTTGAGGCGATTGGCCACAGAGGCAGGCATGTGAAAGATGGACGTGAGATAGATTGGCATGTTCGCTAGAGTGGCTTTAATCAAAGTGGATCAACCTGCCAAAAGAGAGGAAATGTCCCTGCCACCTTGCCAAATGTCTATCTACCTTGTCTATCATAGTCGGCCAATGTCTTTTCTTTGGCTTGCCTAGGCCTAAGGGTAGACCTAGGTATGTGGTAGGGAGGACCTCCACCTGGCATTCTCAGCTAGGCACTAAGGCACGGACTAGAGTTGAGGTCAAACCAACCCCCAACAGTTTGGATTGTGCATGTTAACTTTGAACCCTGTTGCCTTTTGAAAGCAATGGAGGAACAATTTCAAAGTGTCAACCTCTCTGGCAGCGGCATCCAAGAAAACAAGGGTGTCATCCACATACTGTAGATGAGAAATAGTTGGGCCATGTCTACTGGTCTTGAAACCAGTGAGCAAACCCTCCTGAGAGATTTTGGAGATGGATCAATTGAAGACTTCAGCCACGATTGCAAAGAGGAAAGGGGAAAGGGGGTCCCCTTGACGAAGTCCCCTCGACGAGGGGAAGAAACCTTTGGGTGTACCATTCATGAGGATAGAGTAGTGTGGATGGGAGTAGCAGCCTCTCATCCACTTTCTCCATCTATCCCTGAAGCCCTTTCTGGCCATGGTCTTGTCTAGAATCTCCTAGTCAACGTGATCATAGGCCTTTTCCCAGTCGATCTTGAAGATGAGACTCGGTATCTTGGAGAGGTGTCTGGAATGGATGCACTCATGGGCAACTAATGCCCCATCCAGAATTTGTTTGTCTCTTACGAAAGCTGTTTGGGAGGAGGAGATCACCCTGGGCAAGACAGATTGGAGCTTAGAGGCTAAGGTTTTTTCCAAGAGCTTGTAGGAGGAATTGAGAAGGCTAATAGGTCTATAATCTTTAATTTCTCCAGCTCCTTCTATCTTAGGGACAAGAGCCAAGAAGGTGGCGTTCAAGGCTTTGTGGAGGATTCCTCTGTGAAAGAACTCTTCGAAGAAGAGAAGGAAGTCCGGACTAATGATCTCCCAGAAGGCCTTAAGGAGGGCAATCTGAAATCCGTCAGGACCCGGAGCCTTGTCTTTTGGTAAGGCATTGAGGGGTTGAATTATTTGATCCTCTGAAAAAGGAAGTTCTAACCACGAGGCTAGGTCAGCAGGAAGGGTTAGGAAGTTTAGGGAGGTCATTCTAGGTCTCGGCGCTTGAGGGGCAGAGTAAAGGGATCGGTAGAAAGAAAGTAGGGCATGCTCGATTTCTCCAGTTTGGGTAAGTTAGGAGTTATTGTGTTTAACCAAAGAGATTGAATTGACTCTTCTTCGGCAATTTGCGATCTTATGGAAATAGGCTGTATTGTGGTCCCCTTCTTTCAACCAAGAGACTCGAGACCTTTGATACCAATAGGTCTCTTTTTTTTTGATGGTGGAGAGACAATCCTGTTTGGTACTGGTTTTATGTAACTGCTCAGAAGGGTCCTAGGGGATGGGTTTCCTCGACGTCATCCAGGATTTTTAAAGTTTCTAGAAGGCTGGCTTTGATGAGGGAAAAGTTGGCAGCGGAGGATTTGCTCCAAGGTTTCAGAGCCGACTTTAGGAGTTGAAGCTTGGTCTGAAGTTTAAACCCTGCTCTATCGGACACCTGAGAGGTGAAGGTAGTCCACCAGGATTGGACCAGAGGAAATAGATTGGAATCTTGCAGCCAATGGAGTTCAAAACGAAAGGGACAGGGGCCTCTAGGGATGGCATTGGTATCCAGGAGGATAGGGCAGTGATTAGACCTAGGTTTAGGTAGGGCCAGTGAAGTGGTTTTCGAGAATTTCTTATCCCAATCAACAAAAGTAAAAAACCTGTCAAGTTTGGAGAGGGTTGGGTTGGAGGAGTGGTTGGACGACGTGAATTTTCTTCCCTGAAGAGGGATGTCTAACAATTCATTGCGGCTGATGAAGTTGGAGAAATCCCTCATCTCCTGAGTAAACGAGGAGGTATTCCTCTCGAAGGACCATCGGGTGACATTAAAGTCACCTCCCAAACACCAGACAGGATGGGGTAGAGAGGAGATGTGATCCAACTCTGTCCAGAAGCTAGGCCTGAGTGAACTTGAATTCGGCCCGTAGACCGCTGTGAACTTCCACTGAAGGTCATCCGAAATATTGGTGAGGAGGAGAGTGACCGTGAAAATCCCAATGTGGTAGTGGTTAAGGGTGAGGTCGGAGGGGTCCCAAACCACCCAAATCCCACCTGATGCCCCTATAGCTGGCAGCGAAATCCATTAGCACAGCCTTCTTCCCCACACACTACGGACAAATTGGAGGTTAGGATCAAGAAGTTTGGTTTCAATCAGGGCTAGGATAGAGGGGGAATGTTTGGTGGTGTAAGCACATACTACAAACTTTCTGGAGGCTTGACCTAAGCCTCTCACGTTCCAAATCAGGAACTTCATGACGTAGGAGAAAGGGGATGGGAGGAGGCTTGTCTAGGGGACCTCCTCGGGCGGTTCTCTGGTGACAAGGCTAAAGAGAGATTTAACTGTTTACCAGCAAAGGTATCAGAAGTGAAGAGGTTGCAGAGTTCCCTCTGACCCCTAATTCTCACCTGCATCCTACTCGGGGCATCAGCTATCAAGAACCAGTGAGCAGGGCCTTCCGGACCGTCGTACTCAAAGCCCATAAGTCATCGAACACATCCTATCTTCGATTGTATTCGAAGTTTGGTCCCATAGCTTACCCATCATGCTGCTTATTCTCGTGAGCTGCTTTCGATTGCACATAGTAGTACTGCTAATCAATAGTAAGGTTTATTCTATGGGCCTCAAGTACATCGTACTGTGATTATCTCTTTGTGGATAGAAATAATTTTGTTCTTTATTCACAACTGCCCAAGTTGTCTATACCATGTGTTTGTTTTTTCATCATTCATAAATTTGCTTATTCTATTTTTGGTACTTCTCATGTAACTACAGAGGCATGCTTAGAGCATCTGAATGAGGAACTCAACTTAAAGAAGTCTGAAAGTACTAGGATCTCCAATGAAGTTGATGTCCTCATTGGGACCTTTATACAAGGTTAGTTTTATTTTGATAAACTGAGGGCTATTTTTGTTCATGGAATTGTAGCTTTAATGTTTCTTTGAAGTGTAGAGTCTGCTCATCTAGGTGTCGAACTCGATGAACTCAACAGTTTGTTGGAATCTTGTTGTTTCCAGGTCAGTAATTCAAGTACTATGTTCTTAAAAATATTTTTATTTTTAGTGAGATGTTAATTACTGTGTGTACTTTCAATGACTCCCTCTTTAGAAAGATTTGTTCTATGTAATAAGTGTGCATGCTTTCTATCGACATATGATTATGAGGAATGCAAAGTCCAATGTCCTAATGAGAGGGACACTGGAATGCATGTGTGTGTGAGACCGTGCTCGAAGTTATATGAGATGGATAGAAGTGTGTTATTAACAATGCTTGAAGTTAAACTGGAAGTCATTTTTTTTTCAAAATTTGTGATAGCTCATAGCCGCATCTGATGGCTGGGACTGATTGTGACATTCATGTACCATAGGTAAAAAGTCTTATTATATACAATCCCACACACACACACACACGTTATTTTTATGTATTATTTTATTTTGTTTGTTAAGAATACGCCAAATATCATCCAAGGATGGGATGTGGAGAAATTATTATTTTAAACTTTTCTCCCACAACAATTTTTTCTTTTTAATTTTTTTTCTATATTTATTTAAATACATATCTATATACATATATGTATACATATTTACTTTTTCATTCTTTTAAAAGTTTTATTTATATTCATATAAATACTTACATATATTCATAGATACATACATACAAAAATGCACGTGCGCATGTGCATGCGTGTGTGCGTGTGAAATTTTTAATGGAGAATTACTTGTGTGGACTTGTTGGGCCATGTCTACTTTTTAATCCAAAGTACAAGACATTTGACACCCGTGTTGTTGTCCATGTGACATTGAATATAACCTCTAAATCATTAGATATTTTTGTCAAGCGATCAAGTTGCATAGAGGATGAGATTACCCTGAAGAAATATTGCATCTTTTTATTGACAAGTTAACCATATTCTTTCGGAAGCTAATGAAATAGAATAGAGGCAAGCAAATTGAGTGGGAGGAACATAAAAGGGGAATACTTTTGGCCCCCCCTTATATGGGTGCTTTTTTTGATCTTTATTTCCTATTATTTCGATGCTTTTGTTGAAGTAAATGTATTTTTAGTAGTCTCATCTATGTGACAACACATTACCATAGTTTATGCAACTAATGTCTTGGTATCATGAACCGATAAAGAAAAATGTTTGTGTGTTATGGGGAGTTGACATGGAAACTAGAATGCATTTAATAATAGGAATTCACAGCGAAGTCTTGTAACTAGTACTTCGTCTAAAATAACGATGCAAACCAGGGGATGGCTGATTTATATATATATTTTAAATTATTTCCTTTAATTTCCGGGACATGACTGTAATTTCTTGGCTGTAATTGGTTATTTTTAGGGTCCAAAGTGTAGAGGGATTAGAAGGGAATTTTATTTATTATTGTAGACAAGGGTGGCCATCAGCAAGTTTTACCTTTCTTTAGGATTAACATGGGCCTTTTGGTTGGTTAGGATTTACTCAAGGGATGCACATAGTGTTCCATAAAACTAGGATTATAGAGGGATCCTATTTTGAAGGGATTGGTGGTCTTTCCTATTTTAAAGGGATTGCTAGAGATGTATGTGTTAAAGAGAGGGAGGGGAGTATTTTCCTAGATTTGTGGATATAGGGAGAGAAAATAAGTGTTAAAGAGCTATGGAGAGGAAAGCACAAGGTATGATAAAAAAGAATTAAAAAAAAAAGAAGGTGGATTAGTGGAGATATACTTGGGATTAAAGGGGGAAGCAGGTGTGTTAGAGAGGTAAAGGGATTTATAGAGTTTTATTATTTAGTTTATTTTTTAGAGGTTTGTATATAAAGGACTTGGATGTCCCAACTAAAGAGACATGGTATTTTAGATTGAAGTTCTTTTTCTCTTGGCTTGAACAACCATACTTCTCCTATATTACTAGTTTTTGCTTGTTTGAGAATTGGAAAGAGGCTAGATACATCGATTGATGGTCATGGAGGTCTTGGCTGTAGGGATGCCGATCTGATCTGACTGCGCAAGAAAATCAACAACTTGACTGAGAGGGTTACACAACAGCTTTGAGCGTGATCAGCAACAACGTGCCCCAAACGAAGAGGAATCTACGGAGGCGGATCCAAATTGTGAGGGTTTTATGGAGATTGGCGTGAATTAGAGCATGAGTTTGAGTGGGAGTGGACTAATGATGTGTTAAACTACGTAGATGAGTTCCATGCAAGTTGGCATCAACAATAGCATAATTTTGAAGAACAAAAAGGATCCGATCTTCCATCTGATTCAATTTTCTTTGAACTAGTGGATGGTCCTAATTTGATAGTGGTCTTGTTTTTGATAAAGAACCAGGTGAGAGTGATGACATTGTTCTTGAAATATTTTTTCCAACCAGGGAGAATGATGCAAACCATGGAATGATTGGGGTATTTTTTATTTTTTTAACTTTCTACTTGAATTTCAGGGACATGTTTGTGATTACTTCAATGCAATTGGTTATTTTTAGTGTCCATAGTGTAAAGGCATTAGAAGGGATTTTTACTTGTTATTTTTTTTGATAAATGTTAACATTGTATTGTTGTCGAAAAGTTACAAAGAGGTCGGAGATCACCCTAGAGAAGGTGACTCAGTAAAAAATTGCTAGCCTACCATATACAAAAAGGGCTTATAAGGCCATCCAATTACAACAATATACAATAAGTTTTTGCAAAAAAATATCGAGGGGAAAAAATAAAAAAAGCAAGCCAAATTAAGTCGAGATACCTTGGTCCTGAGCAAAAAAGGAGTCGGACCCGGGTAGCATTGGTCCTCGGCCCTGGCTTCTTGCACCCACTTTCGCCAATAAATCAGCGAAGTCGTTGGACGTCCTCCAAATATGGCTCCAGGAGACGTCCATATCCTTGCATATATCGTCAATTTCAACAAACAATGTTGCTATGTACCACGGTGGAGAGCTCGTTCTCCTTGCCCAGGAAATAACATTATAGGAGTCCCTTGCTACTAGCAAAATAGGGCCCTAGGAAGGATCAAAGAGTTTTAAGCCAGTTAGTAGGGCTAGAGCTTCCGCATGATTGGAGTGCTTTATACCAATATACTCTGAGAAGGTTAAAAGGACATTGCTTTGGTGATCTCGGAAGACCCCCCCGACCCCTGCCGGGCCAGGGTTCCTTAAGGAGCAGCCATTGAAATTTAGTTTGATGCTTCCTTGGGGCGGTGGTTGCCAGGTTTGATTTCTGGTCGCCACGCTCGGTTGGTGATGAAGTTGATTGGTCCATTGGGTGAGCAAAAAATACCTAGGGATGCCCGAGAAAACCTTGTGATTGGAGGCCTAGAAAGTAACCAAAGAGATAATCTTTTGGAAGAGAGCTGTTGTGCGTAGCTTAGCGCCTTGGAAGATTCTAAGGTTCCTTTCCAACCAAATGGACCATGTGGTTGCTGCAACTGTTGCCTTCCATAGTAATCTTCTTGCCTTTGGCCAACAAGAGTCAAGATCGTAATCAATACTTTTCTCCAAAGATCGAAAGTAAAGTCACAGAGAATAAACAAGTGTTGGTTCGATTCCTCCTCACATAAGCATAGAGCTCATCTATTGGGAAGTGGGATTCCTCTCCTTTGAAGTTGGTTCACGGTGAGAGCTCTATGGGAGCAGGCTAGCCAGTTGAAGGTTTGGACTTTTGGAGGAGTAATGGTGGCCTAAACTTTGGATTTGATAGCAGTTGGGTTAGCCGGAAGAGTAGGAGGTAGGATTAATCCTTTGCAGAAAGACGCTACCGAAAAATGCCAGATGGAGCTAGCGTCCAAAAGATAGCGTCACTTCCTTGAGGCGCTAGGAAGTGAGAGTGAAGAGAGGTTGAGAGAGACTGACAATGGTGAAATTCCTCATCAGTAAGATTCCTACGGCAGCAAGGGTTCCTTACTCTTCGACCCCCTATTAGGACCATCTCCTCTGCAACTGAAGAATCTTTGTTTAGAGCTAGAGAGTAGAGGGTAGGGAACACCTCTTTCAAAGTGGAGGGTCCTAACCACAAGTTTGACCAGAATCTCACTCTAGAGCCCTCTCTAGGATGATATCTAATGAATTTTCTGATTGGAAGCACCCAAGGAAGAGATTGAGAGTTTCAACTTCGTTGCAGGAGGCATCAATAAACACCAAGGTGTCATCTGCATCCTGCAGATGAGACACTGTTGGTCCTAGTGAACTACTCCTGAAGCCTGACAACAAACCATTCCCGTAGAGCCGGGAGATTGAGCGACTGAAGACCTCTGCCGCAATAGCAAAGGAAAGGGGAAAGTGGGTCTCCTTGGCGGAGACCCCTAGAAGAAGGGAAAAACCCTTAGGGGTTCCGTTGATAAGAATTGAGAAATGTGGATGTGAATAGCAAACACGCATCCACATTCTCTATTTATGTCGGAACCCCATTCTAGCCATCATCTCTTCAAGAATTGACCAGTCCACATGGTCATAAGCCTTTTCCCAATCAATTTTGAAAATAAGGCCTGGTTTCTTAGCCAGGTGCCTCGAGTGGATACACTCATTAGCAACTAGGGCCCCATCAAGAATCTGTCTATCTTTGAGAAAAGCAGATTGTGTTGAAGAGATAACTGAAGGAAGGACCTGTTGGAGTCTGGAGGCTAGGACTTTAGCCAGGATCTTGTACGAGGAATTCAAGAGACTAATGGGGCGGAAATCTTTGATTTCCTCGGCACCTTCTATCTTGGGAACTAGAGCTATGAAGTTTGCATTGATGGCTTTGTGCAGAGTGCTCCTATGGAAGAATTCCTCGAAGAATTTAGGGAATTCAGGACGAAAGGTGCCCCAGGACTCCTTGAGGGGAGCAACCAGGAAGCCATCAGAGCTCGGTGCCTTGTCTTTGGCTAGAGCATTGAGAGCCAAAAAAATTTCTTCCTCTGCAAACTGTTGCTCGAGTCAAACAGCCTTTTCTTGTGAGAGGGTAAGAAAATCAAGGGAAGACATTCTCGGTCTACGGCCCAAAGGGGTAGAGTAAAGAGTCTGGAAGAACTCTAAAATTGCCTGCTCTATCTCAGCAGGTTGA